ATTTCAAGTTTTTCACAGCTTGTGTCGTTTCACTTGGAGAAATATTAATATCGGTCTCTGCTTCTCTGCAGGTGAGTCGTCCCGCGATTGCTCAAGATTAGGGAGCTTCTCAAAGTACTCTCTCCATCGCCAAAGACTGCTTGCATCCTCGGTAAGAAAGTGTCCAGACTTGTCTTTCAAGACTCTTTGACTGCTTTTTTTCCCGTCAGAGCCAACGGATGGTCTGGCAGAATACTTCAATTCCAAAACCTCATCGAACCTCACCCAGGAATCAGGTTTAGCTTTCGAAACTGTTTCAGCTGCAATTTCATTTGCTTGTAAATACCACTATGAGTTGAAGGCTGTTTGTTCCAAGTCATTTTTTGAACGCAACCTTCTCAATGACTGCCAGTTGCACCTCTAACGTCCACCAGGAAGTTCTTTTGTAACCTCAAGGCAGGAGGCCAAACGATTGGAATCCGCAGCATTCGGCTGCAGCCACGAGTACGCCGTTATTAGAAAGCTTCCATTGCTTTTCTACATCAGAGATGATCACCTGAATCTGCTCAAACGGTCGTGCGGTTTATTAAAGTTTCGCTTTCGTATCAGCTGAAGTCATTGCTTTCCATTTGACTCTTTGGTTGCTTCTGCCACCAGATCGTCGCGTGGTGCTCTATTTCTCACAGTTAGCCGCGCTCCAACAACCAGGTGATGATCAGCTGACAACTCTGTGCCACTTTTAAAACGAGCATCTGTTACAGAGCGTCGTTAGCCAGACGTTACGAATGTCAAATCAATCATCGACTTCTGTTGTACAAACTTCTCCATACAAAGGATACTGATGAACGCTTCGACGCTCGAAGAAGTTTTACGTAATAGAAAGTCCATTATTTACAGAAAACCGTAACAACTGCTGTTGATGAGGTCGCCAAAGCCGTATTATTCGATCACGCTATTCCATATTTGAGTGACTGCTTCGACATTTGCACATCATGCAGAGTACATTCCACTTCCTCAAGTGGACTCAGGATGCATGTTTTCACTCCAAATTTGGCGCATGGACCTGTAAAACGATCAACGCTTCAGCCTGTTGTAGCTTGAATCGGAGGTTTGCCAGTCACTTGCCGACAGACTTCCATTCAATGACTCTACCAACTACGTTGGTTTCGACCAAAACATTAGCACCCGCTTGATCACGAATCGTGATGTCAACTCCTGTGTAGAATGACT